TTCAAAATGGAAAGTCATGTTACACAATATATCATTAAGGCATTCTTCGAAACTCAGTTTTTCTTCATATCTTCCGTAATATGTAGAAAAAAATAATCCCTTAGTACGTTGGCCTCGCCGGAAGCCTCAGAAGGCTGTGCGCCGATGACTTATTCGCTCAGCTCCGAGGCGATCCTCCTTCGGCTTCCAGGGAGGCCAACTTACGAATCCCTTTCACTCGCCTCTTCAGACAAGATAAAAGGTACTCCAACATAGTGTATAATCTCTAGTGCAGGAGGCTTGGATGAGGTATGTTGAAAAGTTCTCATAAGCTCTGAACAATAAGCATACCACTTTTCCCAGTCACTGAAAACTAAAGAGAGTGGCTAGATCACAAGTCATTTATGCTCTCTTTTACTTTCATCCTGCAATAACGCGACAATTTGTTCTACGAATTAACACTTTCCGTCTGCACCGAAAGACGTTCTTGCCATGTGACCTGGAAAGAGGGGTAACTTGTTGGCATCTCCATCCACACACATATTTTAAATCCCACCGGCGGACTTAATGAGACGTCGAGGCGGGGTTGAAATTTCAGTCCAGCTTTGCGGAGAATGGCCCTTTGGGATACATGTCGAAGTGAAATTGACTGCGAAAATCAAGTCTTCTCATGGCAGATTCGCTATCATTTTATTGCACAACCAGTTGATAGTGGCACACTAATCGTATTTCTGATGTTCACCAGTAATGCCGTCAGGGTATCAGAGATTCGAAACCTACTAGCTCCATATATCCCAGCTATGGAGATGGGCTGGGTTGCCTACTCTGTGATGCAAGGGTGCTGTAGTTGTGTGTAGCCTGGATTTATCGTCTTCCAATTCACACATCCTATGTTCGAATCCCGTTGGTGGGGATGACTAGACTCCTGTGGGACTGCTGTTCATCCAGGATTGCAGCTAACTTTCGAAGCGGATAGCACAGCGGCAGATTTTATCCTCAATCCATCACGACCAGATCAATCATCAGCATCAGTCCAACTTGGCAATATGTGTTGAGCGCCAGCTTTTTTCACAAGATTAAATGTCGTGGTGTTCCCGTGAGATAATCTGATTTGCCTATGCTTCTACGCACATTTCAGTTTTCTTTATGGGCCTATTTTTACTTTCGGTTATTGAATTACAACCTGATGGGACACCGACCCATGATCAGCAAATGTCTGAATACTTGTTTGTAGTGACTATGATTGATAGTTTTGTCTAAGAACTCTGTTCACCTTAAGTCGACTAAAATGATGTAAGAACTGATGTTAACTTTCCTACAGTCATTTGGCGCCCATTGACACTCGTGGCTGCTGGGCGGATGTTTATGCACCCCAGTCCAGCTTGTACGAGGAAGCCTTCCATTCATTTGGTTGTTGAAGCTCAACTAGCAACTATCAGTCCTTGCTTCATCTCAAATGAGCAAAAGTTACTCGGATTGTCATGTAATGTGCCTTCTTTTTCTTGCTTGTTTTACGCAAAATTTCTTCCTTTCAGTGCTCCACTCGTTTTTCTGCCTTAGTCATGTCCTCTTGTCTAAACAACTACTATGAATTATGGTGTTGGTTCTACCTTATTTTCGCAATTTGTTCGGAGCATCAGGGAAACCTTGTGGAATGTATCTAGTCCTGAGTTATCTGCATCGGACCATTGACTGGGTACATTCCCAAACGATGCTGGAAATCACGAATACTATGGCAGAGGACACGGTACTTTGTCTTTATGTCTACTATGAGCTATGTTGACCCTATTTCCTTTCAGGTGACGAAAGACTTGTAGTTGGATTTTCCCACATTGATATGAGTAAAGCTGTCGTTTCCATTGAAGTTCACCTAGCCTTGCCTTCGCAAAAGGTATTCTCATCCAGTATGGACTGCAGTTATGATCTCGCCTAAGTCTCATCAGCACCCCAAGCAGGACTCGAACTTTGACAGTGCAGTGTATAATCTCAATACGTTAACCTCTATGCCATGAGTGCCCTTGGGTCAGAGAGCAGATGTGAATTTCACTGAAGGCCAGGCATTTTCCCATATCACATTCTTTTTGTGTGATTGTTGATTAAGTAAAGTTCTATTTGCCATAACAAAGTTCGACGACATTACTTAAATCGAAATATAAACAACTACTCCCTCATTAATGTATCATCGTGTTGTGCACTAGGCATGGCTCGTGCAAACGGACAATCTCAGCATCGAGTTGGCAGCCATTCGTCACCAACTCTTCGCGCATTGGCCAACGACCGCCCGACGCCTCGACGTTCCATCCTGGTCACCGGCTGCCGGCCTGGAGAGCGGTGTAGTGCCAGTAACGAGCCTGGGTGTGCACCCGATGCACGATGGAGAGTTTATGGCGAACCCAATCTATCCGTGTGGCCGAGAACCTGGATCTGCCGACTGGTTGGTTGGCCTGTTATGGCAGGAGAGAGCTGATTTGCTGGTCGGTGCTCTGCGAACGAGACTTGACCTGACGACTCAGAGTTT